TAGTTAACAGGGGACAATGCTAGTGAACAGGGGACAATGCTAGTTAATGGCGCCAATGCCAGTTAATGGGGCCAATGCCAGTTAATGGGGACAATGTCAGCTAACAGGGGACAATGCCAGCTAACAGGGGACAGTGCCAGCTAACAGGGGACAATGCCATCCCCTGCCCCAGCTGGAGGCACCTCCCCAGCAGCAGTGCCAGACCCAGCTCCTCCCCAGCCCTCTCCCCTGGGCTCCTGAGGCAGCACCTGAGTTTAGGAGGGTTTCAAACCACCTTAACACTCTTAGATCAACAAGCAAAGATCATCTGTCAGGGTGCTGGGTTTTAAGGCTGCTTGTTAACAGTATTTGTGAGACCTGCTTCGAGGTACAAGGCAACAAGGACAGTCGCTCATTTCAGCAGTGCACAGCATCACATCCCACTTGCTGGATTCATTGCTACATAATTCAAGGATTAATGAACAAAATCCACCAGTGCTCTTTTAACACATGAGATAATACAGCCATTTCTGGCAGCAGTTTTGAACTGAAGGACTGCCACTCTGACTCAAGCATTTGTAAATTGAGTTCTTAGAATTTGGGGGACTTATTTATTTAAACTATGCTGTGATTAAGAAAAAAGAAATTACCTAAATGTATTCAGCTGATATTGTCCTTTACATCACCAGTGCAGAGCTGTTGCTTTTCATCAGGGCTGTGATATTTAATTTTATGTTTGAGTAGGTGGGAATACGTTGAGAGCTATAAAACCTAAATGCCAATCTACTTTTTTGAACAAGAGAATGTTCACAAATTCATAATTCTTCACATCAAGTGGTAAGAAGTAGACTTTTTAGATTAAATATGCATCACCTTAGATGGAAGAAGTAGAATCAATTAGAAAGAGCTTATAAATAGAAACAAGGTTTAAGCAAAAATATGAAAGGGCTTAAATAGATTCCTAAATGTCAACACACCTTGGTAAATAGCCAGGATACAAAGTGGTTCTGCTGTCTGCAGAGTAATTGTAAAGCAAATTTTGAAGAATTAACTTAATCAGTAATCAGTGCATAAAGCAAATTAGTTAACTTTGGTAATACTAAATATATTATACATACATTCTTCTAATAATTTCTGTCATAGCCTTGTAATGTTATTGCTAATAATATAATTTAGCCATTTATCTTCACCAATTCTTATGGCACAGAAACTTTGCTAACCACAGAATCCAGTTCTAATGGACCTGACTGAAATTAATAAGCATTATTTCTCTGTCTTCACAGCTCCAAAAAGTAAAACCTTTACCTTCACCTTTAGAAAGAAACTACAGCCTGCCTAGAAAGTAGCTGCCAGCAATTTCTAACTAGCACTGATAAATTAGAATGAAAATTATGCTATAGATTTTTCCTGTACATGTAGACCTCAGAGCATCACGAAGGAAAATATAAACAATTAACATGAAGCCATCAAACACAAACTGATGGTCTGAGCAGCAAAACCCAGGAACTCTTGGAAAGATCATCCTGCCCCTAAATTCAGACACAGTAGCTAACACTCATCTCCATCCCAGACGAGGGCTACTCCATTTCAGTAAAAGTTCTGCTGCATTACAATTTAAAGGACCTTTTTTTTTTAACTGATGGCCATCAGGCAATTTTATCAAGGCCTGCTCTGCAATTAGTGTTCCAGCTCTACAGTTCAACTCTAACTCTGAAAATCCTCCTCCAGAGCAACCCAGACCTTGCTGCACAGAATAAAGCCCTGTAAGAGGTCAAAGTCTATGACCACAATCTAAATAAGAGTTTGCTGTTTGAGTTTGGGCTACACAGGGTACAGCTGCGCTCTTACTGAACAGGCTGTGCTTGTTGTGAGCAGAGATATGAAAGAGCAGATTAAAATGGTTTCTCAAACATTTCTCAAAAGAAAAAAAAAAATAACCAAGAAATCAATAAATTTGTAACAGTTTCAGACAGCTCAGCTCCGTGTTGGCCTGCAAAAATGAAACAGGAGTCACCCAAAACATACATGTGACTTCAGATCTTCTCAAACACACCCAGCCCTGCATCACCTCCTGCATTGCTCTGGCACTCCAAATCCAAACTGAAACAAGAGATTTACCAGTTCCTGGAAGTTAAATGAGTTTGCTATAGAAAACCCTGACTGAAAAGAAATTTATTCATCTGGAATGGATGTACTGCAGCAGACCTCCTTCTAAAATGAAACAGCAGATGCACCCAAACAAATTCTCTGCTACTGTTAAAAAGGTATACTTATCATTTTTTTTTTTAATTGTAAAACTTTAGTGGTTTCAAGGTTTCACTCACAACTATATTGCTTGCAAAAAATTAGTTCATAATGGCCTCTAGCAGTTGGGAATTGTTTGCTAATCTTTTTAAAACATGAGGGGTTTCAGGTTTTGATTTCTGATTAAATGTAAGAAATGCCACATATACAAGTATGTATACATATTTATATTATAAAGTTTTTCTCATTATTGATTGAAAGAAAAAATTGAAATTCTTTTTTTATCCCATTTTGAACAGATTTCAAAAATCTTTCCATTTAAAGAAAAAAAACCATTGAACTGAGATCCTCCCTTCCTGCCCAATAAAGCTCTTGTCTTTTACAGGTATTATTTTAGCATAGTAAAATTTTCTCCCAAGATTCAGTCAAAGTTTATTTTAAGGTAATGAGAAAAATCAATGGAGCAACCCACACGCTTAAAAACCCAATCCTATTTTGTCTTAATGATTCCAACGATGTGCTCAGATTCATTAAGAAATATTTTTTAAGAACAGAAGATAGGACAAAACCTTTACCAGAGCTTTAGTCTTCTAAACTCCTTATTCTTTAATTTTGGTTTTCTCTGAATAAAAAAAAATTATTAACCACAAAATTTTTTGAACCACGGTTTAAAAGACAGGCATAGTGATGTTGTAGTAATTATTCTGCTGTAATATCAGCAGGTACATTTGCATAGATAGCAGGGTTGATAAGAGTCTTCTTCTAAAAAATCAAGGCCTTATTGCAATTGCTGCTCTGCAAAATCCCTGGGGTATTCCTTGCTAAGCAGTTATTGTTTTATGTATTTCTATCAATAATACACAATAGTGCTAATTTAACACAACACATTAATTTGTTTGGATACAAAAATGAAGTATCTTGATGTCTCAAAGGATTTGATTTGCTGCTGTCCATCTAAATAAAATGGAATTCTGTGAATATGAATGGAAATCTGTAATATGTGTTGGTTTTAGAAGACTCCTCAGACCTGACTGCTCCATCTTTAGGTATTTATCCCTGATAATGAAAGCAAGACCTGGCAGCATGACTAAGTCAGCAGAATGCTACTGGGTATTAGCTGATCAAACTGGTAACTAATGGGGACACAAACCTTCACAGCTCAATGCAAAATGATGAAACATTGACAATAATTAAATGGGAGCTGCTCTAGCAGCCTGCATGTACTCTGCATCAAACACAAACACCACAGGTAAAAACACAGTTGGAGAAATGTCCCTTTCTCATCTGACTCCGTCTGATGAAATCCTGAGAAGGGATCCTAAGTGATGTGCACAGCAAAGCATTTCACCAACACAAAACCGAGTGCACAACCATAAATTCTAGGTAACAGTTTACTTCTTTTTTCCATTTAAAAAAGTAAAAATATTATGGCAACCATGTAATATATCAAAATGATATTATTTTGGCAGGTTTTGTCAATTATTTTGTCAATTACTTTTGTCCACAAGTATGAATAAAAAGCACACTAAGGACAAACCACAAGGTTTCATGAAAGTGACACTACCTGAACAACAGTGTAAGTTTTCTGATTAGACAGATCCACAAAACGTTTGTTACACAACATGAGTAAATTCAGAAACATGGAAGTGAAATCAACTTCACAAAAGTACACATCACAAAAGTACACCACCTTAAACTAGATGGAGAAAAAAAGAAAAGGAAGCACTACTTAATGATTACAAGCAGCATCATATGCCAACACATAAACAGAACAGAAAGAAATTAACACCATGAAATTTCATGTTAAGAATGAAGTTGGGTACAGAGCAGTAACCTTCAAACTACAGGATAACTACTCAAAATTGTTTACTTCAATCATGTAAAAAAAGCACTGATCTCTACAAGAAAAAGCAGAGATACAGACTGATTAAAAGAACATTCATTTCTGCTCCATACAGTAAAATATACATATGGATATGAGACATTTAAATTTCAGAGATATGCCAGTTAATATTTCTGCTACTGCAAAAAGAGCACAGATTTATGAAACTAAAATCAGACTGTAACTAAGATTTCTATTTAAAGTTCTGACTGATATATTTAATACTGGAAATCACACACTCTCCTTTAAAAGTAAACAGGCAACACAGGTTAGCTCTGGAGTTCCTGAAACCCCTGGAGCACTCCAAAAGCTCCTCACCCTAAGGTACCCACCCTGCTTGGCCCAGCTGAGTCTGCAAAATATTTAAGAGGGCAGATTAAATTGATATGAGTGAAGACTACAAAATTCTTAGGATTTAATCTTTCCAGTATGTGCTTTACTTTTGATACATGTGATATCTGTAAGAATATTCTCTTGTCTGCAAGTTCATTAAACTTCCAATTTCTCCCTGTGTAGTTTATTAAGCACACTGTATTGAAGCTACATGCCAAAGTTGATAAAAACAGCATTTATAGTCCAGAAAAAACTCAGTTTGGGGTTAGAAGGGATTACAAAGCTAGACAAGAAGGTATTTTGGTCTATGCTTCAAAGCGAATACAGAATATTTTAGAATCTGTATTGAAATAATTCCTTTCAAAACGACACTCCTACAGTGATTTTATCTAAAGAGAAAACAGAGCATTCTTGTTCCTGAATGAGAGAGTCCACACATGGACTTAATCAGGAAGAATTTTGTGTAGGCAGCAGAGGAGAACATTTTATTATCAGTAAGCAGTTTCCATTTTAATCAAGGATATACAGTCTGAAGAGAAGACAATGTTTTAATCTACTTACCCAATTTTTGTTTTCTCTTTAATTTTGGATGAGGAACCAGTTTTCGGCTTTTTAGTCTCCTTATCCTTTGGTTTGGATTTAACTTTTCTACCCTTCTTTTCCTCTTTTCCTTCAGCTGAAACACTGGGGAAGTTTTCAGGGCTCATTACTCGTGGAATGTTTCTCTCTCCTCTCTCTTTTGCCTTTGCAATTGCTTCGGATATTATGCGATTCGCCTTCTCTTGTTTACTTTCCGAGTCTGTTTTTTTCTTCTGCTTCTTTTCAGACATTCCCCTCACCTGGGTATTCTGCAACTTAGTATATGATCCTGAACCATCAGTCTTCTTGGAAGGAGGCTGTAGCAAGAAACAAAAAGTACATTAAATCCCTTTAAAGAGAGAAAGAAAAAGTGCTAACATTTTTGGTAATTTTGGTGATATGCATTCTAAAAAAAATGTAACTGCCAGGGACTTATGTGGACACAAAAAATGAGGAATTCCACTTATACCACAGAATTGTGTGGGTTTCAAAATAACTACATCAATTGTTAGTTTTAAACAACCAATCCAAGTACTCAAAGTCAGTAAAAATTATCCTTCTGAAATTCTCTCAGCCGGCTCTCCACCTCTGTAATTAAAGAAACCAATCTTTAACCTTTGCAGTATTCCCATACATTTGACACACACATCCAACACCTCCAGTAAAATATGAAAAAGCAAAGAGCTCCCGAAGGTAACAGCATCAGTGTTTTGCCTTTGGCAGGAGAGCAGGACCACAGTTCCCCTAAAGCAGATGAATGATCTACAGGACCAACTCGGCGATGAACACAACAGATGCTCGAACAACACCAAGATTAAAAAAGAGACAAAAGATAAAACCAAAACTAAAATTACACAGCTCTATATCCATAAACAGATCAGAAAGCAGCGTTTCCTTTATTTAGATCAACATACACTCCACGCCTCGGATAAAAGACGTAACTTGTTTTTATCTCCGGGGTTTTAATGCCCGTTTCATGGACGCAGAATTGTTTACGGGGCTGATGAGCTTCTCCTGCAGCCAGCCAGAAGACATGTTTTTGCTTTCCTCCCCTCCCCCTTTGAGGAATGGAAAGAATTTCCTATTCAAACACAAAACCCCAGCAGATAACAGTTATGTTACGTTCTCACCCGTAAATGCGCCTCTGCCTAGAGCAGGAAGAAAAGCCACCAGGAATTTCCAAACACATTTTCTGGGCAAACCCCGCGCACTTCCCGGGATTCATGTTCTAGAGGAGCCTCATGGGCGGCGGGGGCGGCAGGCAGGGATGGGGCCGCTCCCGATGCCACCTTAAAGCCCCGGGGCTGCAACAAACAGCCGGCCCCAGCTCGGGAACAGCTCAAGATGGCGATGCGGCTCCCGCAGCAGCAGCCAGTAATAAGGAAGGTTATTCAATCCCATTAGCCTTTTAGCCCAAAGAACCCCTCCTCCTCCCACTCATTCAGGCTCTCACTTACCCTTCCTCTCGGCCTCTTCACTGAAGACATTTTTGGCGTCAGACAAAGACTTGCCCTCCGCTTTTGCAGCACCCCCGGCAGTGCTCAGGAGAAAAGCATGGGGAGAAGATTGCTAAATGGCCTATTTAGCGAGCGGCAGCCGGGCCGCGCTCAGCCCTCCCCGAGCGCTCGCTCGCTTCAGCAGCATCCCCGCGCCCTGCCCGGCGCGCACCCGCCGCCCCCGGCCCGGCCCGGCCCCGCCGTGCGCGGAGCGCCGGATCCCAACAAAGCGCGGAAAGAAACGCACAAAGCATCAAAAGGCATCAGCGCCAATATTAGCGCTGGTTAGACCCGCTCCCCGCGGAACTAGGCCAGCAGATGGTGCTACCCGTCATTATTCCATTAGGCTCCACGTTTAACCCCCGCGGGGATCGGCTTTAACCCTTGCCGCTCCCCGCCCGCAGCGCCGCCCACAGCGCCGCTCGCTCCCTGGAAAGCCGTGGGAACCGGGCGCGGTGTGCGCCGGACCCGCTGCACCGCAGCCCTGCGGCTCCAGCCCGGGGAGGGCACCGGGAGACAGCGGCCGAATCCCAGCCTCTGCCCTCACAAACAGATCTTGCTCTCCAATATACTTCTTGATTTTTTTTTAAATTATTTTTTCTTGCATTTACTTCATTACTATACGATGGTAAGAGTGACTATAAATCATTTGCTGACAGGCTTCCCTGCTTCCTACAGAAAATGGAAGAACTGCTCGGTTTTATCCCTCTGCCTCTGCCCAGACCTGCGGGACCCTGCGGCCGAGACCTCCTCGGGACACGGCTCTCTGGTAAGCACCTCTTCATTCCCAGCTTGGCTTAAAGTGCTATTTTTAAAAAATCAGATAAGTTTTAAAATACGTGTTGTCAGCATATCAAATAAAACAAAAAAGAAGATTGGGGTTTTGCAAGGTTATTAAAAAAAAAAAACAAACAACAAGAAGCTTTTGACAGCATAGCTCCATCCTAGCAATACTCTTGATTCTCAAAAGCCCACTTAAGAAGACTGAAGAAAGATCGGGACTTGATTTCTGGTTTTTTCTCAATATATACATCTGTCTTCATTTTGAAGATATATGTTTTTCCATAGAAAATTTCAAATATGGTAAAGATTTTGAGATTGTTAAGATTAGTCATTACTCTAAAAGGTAATTTCACTTCTATTTAAGATTAATTTCAAAATTAAGTTCCTTGTCCAGTAGAAACACTAGTGGCACAAATACTTTAAATTTATTATTTTTTTAACAATACCACTTCAATTCAAGGATATTTCTTTAAATGTGCAGCAGCATCACAAGGACAATTACATTTTAATTTTACTTTTGAGAACTCTAGCCAAGATTTTTCTACATTTTGCTTACAATAACTACAGTAAATTACAGGGATTTATCATTAAGGGTGATTATTTCATATCTTGGTAAAAATGGTAACTAATCAACTATTTTACATTTTGAGATCAGCTAAACAACAAAAAAAAATATTCCTAATGTATCCTTGGTACAATTTTAGCTCAAAAGCCAAATGCTACCAAAGGTAGTAGTGTTACATTGGTCAGTTCTTGAACATTCCTGGGCCAGAAACAAACAAACAAAAAATGCTTAATAATTAAGTAGGTAATCCAGAAATGGTCGCTTTTTCGTGGATCCTTTTACAGCCTCTTCTAGATATTTTATCCTTTTAAAATGAAGTTTCTTTGCTGCATTTTCTCAGAGCTCAAAGCTGCTTCCCAATTTATTCCTCAACAACATTTACTACACTCTTACTGTAGAACTGTGAGTATGCTGGCCGAGGCTCCTCTGTGTTATAATTCCTCTGCGTGCTGCTCTGTACTATCCCTGCCGAGTTCTCTCCTGCACTGCACAAACATTAAGCTGTTTGTTAGAAATCCCAGACCATGGGGATTTTTACATTTTGCCATGACATTTCTAACCACATGGAAATGACATTCATGAAGACGCAGGAAGGCACCGGCCAGGCATTCTAAGCCAAACAAATCTGTAATGAAACCTTCATCAAGAAAGTCACCACAGTCGCAAAAACCAAAACTGGAAAGCAACACAAGTGTTTTGAGATTAGAACATGAAACATGCTTGCACTACAGAGGACAGGATCTGTGTGTACTTAGCAACAAAAGCCATTTAATCCAGCAGCTCTGTTATGCTGCTAATAATTTCATTATTTGAAAACATGCACAGCTATAAAATGATTGAACCGTTGTAAATCATCATGCACATGAAAACCATTTCAAAGGTTGTCGAGCATCTACCAAAAAAAGGGCAAAGCCTTTTGCAAGCTGAAAACACCCCTCCCCCTCAGTGAGACGGAACGCAGATAGAACATCCCAAAGGAATATATCCTCTCAGCAATGCCTTACAAACCTATTCCATCTAGAATAAGAGAGAAAATTTTAAATGACATTTATATAGGTGAAGGTGGAAAGGAAAACCCTGAGGCCACCACGTATTTAAAACCTGAAGATTTTATTCAGAAAAATAGGTTTGTACTTTTCACGATTGCGAAGATAATCATCCAAACATGAGCGAATGCAAAGCAATGCAATGCTGTCTTTTGAGCCTGCACAGAGGGAGCTCCAGGGTATTGCTGCTGCTAATGGCTTTGCCGAGTGCAGGAAACAAGCCTCCTGTCAGTTCCCTGCTGCTCCACACAATCCTCTGGGCAGCAGGGAAACTGGCAGGAATCACCTCAAATTCACACCACTGCTGCTGCCTGCAAAAGCCATTAGCAGCAGCAGCAGGTATGGGCCCTGGTGCTGCTCACACCCCAGAGCTGGCCCGAAAAACACTCAGGGAACAGATCTGACAACAGCTGTACAATTCCCCACACAGGCCCTGATCCCCGGCCGGGGGAGCATCTTGTTGGCACTATCCAAGGGAATTCGACATGCTGTCTCACAGGAATAGAAGGTATAACCTGCACATATCTGAATGATTTCTTAGTTAAACAGTGTGAAAGCAGTCAAGTTACCAGGCATTATCAAGAAGCAGAATCATGACAGCATCTTTCCAACAGCCAACAGGACTCTGCTGAGTAGGCTTTTCAAAGAAAGGCATTTCCTCCAACACTGTTGTGGTTGCTTAGGACATGCATTTGAAGACCTTCACTGGCATAACAGTCCTTCCCCCAGCAAGGACAAACCACCATCCTCAAAACTTACACACATCAGGTTTTTCTCCTCTAAAGCCTAAACCCATTTTCCACAACAAGTCCTTCCTTCACATCCTCTGCATGTCACTACAGAGGAAGCCCCAAGGAGCAGGCGAGTTTAACACCAAAACTACTTCTACTTCCTAGAAAACCCTCCCAAATCCTGCCTTACCTGTTCCAATAGTAAAACATGCCTTCCACTGCAAGAACACCTTTCCTGCAGTAGGTATGGCCATTCACAATAGAGTAGTGTTTCTTTCAATTCTATGTGTGCACAAAACCTTTCAGACTAAGTACCTCCGTGAAGTCATGCCCATTCTTGATATATTCTAGGAGCTGACACTGCTTTTCTCTGAAATTTTAACAAGTCACACATTTGTGATTGAATTATATGAGGCACTTCACTGAAATAATGCTTTTCACTTGTGGATCTACCGACCACTTAGATTAGCTACCTAACAGGTAAATCATGAGCCAAGAGCATTAAGAGCTAAATTATGACCCTAAGGAGTCTGACAACAAAAAGCTAAGGTTTATGTGCCTTGAGTGACTGTTTCACTCCTGCTGGTAGCAGCACACACCTGCAGGACCATGCTCAGACTGTCTGCCTTGGAAGTCTAACAAGGTCCTGAGAGTCTGTCAGGTCCTCAGGAAATCAAGATGACCTTGACATCAACT